TTCAGTTACATCCAAAGTAAAAAATTGGGAGATACATGTTCCAGTTTGTTCCTTCAAAAATTCAGCACCACATGTATCAACTGTAAAGAGAAAAGTATTTTCTAAAAAGATATAATTTTTAGGAGAAGCATCGAGTCTTCTCAAGTCACAGGTCTCAAGTCCGAGTCAAGTCCAAAGTCACTGACCTTGAAGTCCAAGTTGAGTCTTAGCCCATTGGATTCGAGTCCAAGTCACAACTTCCAAGTCCCCATCTCTGGTAGATACAGTATGTAATAGTGCTGGTTAGGTTCAGGTTTGGTCCCGTTTTGGTTTCCCCTTTGGATAAGATCTATAAAAGGTTGTTTTTTTGTTTGTTTTTTTCATTATACTTTGCACTTGTTTTATTGGTTGTATTAAAATATTGTCCAATTGGATTTTGAGGTAAAACTTAAGCTGTGAAAGTTGGAAGAAAAATAAAACATGACATAGCTCATAATTACTGGTGCTAGGGCCTTTTTTATCAGAGCGCAAAACAGAAAATAAAAATATGAAGCAAGACACATGAAAGTCACGATTCAACCAAATAAAATATGTCATAAACAGAAGGATCATGTTGATTTAATATTGTGTTTTCCAGCTCTCAATTTGGTATTATTTCCCCATAAACAAACTTGAGAAAAATAATGTATTCCTAGATTTTTTTTTTTCTTTTTGATATGAAAGTTGTAATAAATGTATAATCTTTAAAAATTCAGACAACATAAAACTATCTGCAGATAAAGTAATCAGTGCAGTGATAACATTATGGAGATTAAGCGTATGGGTCAGATGCCCTGGTCTCAGGGGGACAGCAGTAGTTAAAGGCAGACTGAGTGAATACAGATGAGTTCAATCTGGTTAGTTTATATGGAGCCTCTGTCTCTCCTTCTCTCTCTCTCCCTCTCTTCTCCTCTGTGTTTGAATGAAAACACCTCCCCAAAGGCCGCCCCATCTGCTACAGCTACACCAAATCTCAAATTTAGATGTACTATGTGGCTGTGTTTCAAAAAGTCATACAAGTCAAGAAGCTTATGTGGATCTAAAGGTGCAGTGTGTAACTTTTCTGGTGTAGGGTCTGTCAAATGCTCATTATCTATGGAGAGGCAGCCCCACTCATAGCCAGAATGCCTGTTTTTCTAAAAACAAAAAAATCTAAACAAAAAAAAAAACCCACCTGTAATTGAATACATGTAAAGCAGAGCTGTTTAATGTCATGCTGTGGAAAATTCCAGGCAGAACAATGACATATCCATAGAAACAAGTAGGTGACGGACTCCCAACCAAAAAGTTACATCATGCACCTTGAACTGAAAACTGTATGATACTGTATGACATTTCTGGTAGCAAAAGTAGTGCAGGAAGCATTGGCCTGCTATTAGAACAGTCCGTTTTTCACGTCTCACTCAAAGACTAATTTTAAAGGCGCTGTACTTATTTTTTTTATGATGAGAAGTGCTTTTCAAAACTTCCAGAACCCAGAGCAGAATGCTAACAAGCAATAGCATGCTAACAGTGCACTTACTGGTTCTCTAAGACCCTTTTTGGCAAAGGTGACACAGTTGGTTAAGTACAGACCCTCTAACAGAACAGTCAGTTCAAGTTAGAGGTCTGTGCGGGACAGAATTTTCAGTCCCGCATGCGCGCGCAAAGAATTGTAATTTTCATTCCCACCTGCAATTGCGGCATTGTGTTCCGCTCCTGCCTGCAAATCTTGCAATATGGGGATGTTCTCTTTCTTAAACTCTATCAAACACGGAGAAGTGGAAAGGAATTGTCTTAAATGTGCACGAGATTAGACCACGTCTGCAAATTTAGGTTGCTTAAAATGTTTTTACTAATGCCAAATAAAATATTCAACACAAATTATGTGTGATAGGCATACATTAATCATTTGTATATTTTACTTTACACTCATATTTAGTTTGCGGGACTGCAGTTTATCATCCCACCCACCACTCCCGCCCGTGTTCGCAATGAGCTTTAAAAATGTGTTCCATGTCACACTGTTTTGCGTCAGGTCCCACAGGTGCAGGGCTCTAGTTCAAGTCCCTTCCAAATATTTGTTGTCCAATAAACTGTGGATTTAATTTTATATATTATAGTGTGAAAGTGGCATAGTTGGTTAAGCGTTGTCCCACTAATTAAAAAGTGAGTAGTTTGAGCCTCATCCATTCTTATTTGTGACAGAGTTTACTTCACACTGACAAAATTGATTTAGGTCTTGGGATGTGTTTATGTGTCTATATTTTCTTAACAACATAGAAAAAAAAAAAAACAGAAATAACAGTTTTTCTAAATATAAACTGTGTAGACTCCTGTAGACACGCTGGGGCTGTGATGTGGTAATCAGTCTATTGAAGCTGTCTGTGTCTGGCAGTGGTCCAGCCTCCAGTCAGAGCTGCCATTGTAAACGTCCCACAGGAGAGCGCCCCCTTCAGATTGATGTGTGACCTACAACACCTGCTGATGTCCCCAATTATCATGGGACAAGCGCTCCACTAGAATTACAATAAGCTGCTTATGCAATGGAACATCTCAAAAGACAGGATATTACAACTAAAGGACTCTGGGGTTGCCGAAGCTTTAATAATGATACAACATTCTGAATACACACAGAAAAAAACAAAAACTGTGGTATAGGCATTTTTTTATGATTTACAGACTTTTTATTCCTGAAATCATTCACTGTAAGTTTCACCAGGCCAGAGCAGTCCCACCATTGATAACAACAGCTAGTATGCTAACACCACATAAACATTAGTACCTGGTTTGCAGAAGATAAAAATACATATTTATCATCTGCTCTCAGAAAGTTTTCATGCCAAAATGCATTAATGTTCACTTGTTTATTGTAGCCAAATAAAAACATGTGGACAGCCAATCTGCTCTCCTCCCAAAACATCATATAACAAGTCACATGGCTCTTTTTTACAAATTAGCAATAGATAAAATGTTGTGGTGTTTTTTTTTACACAAAGACAGCGTGTAGTTTCCACTTTTACACTGCACTATTTAGGGGTGAAAACAGAATTTACAAATGGAAATTAAACATGTTTTAAGGGTGCAGTTGAACTGAGGGGTCCTCAGGTCTTACAGTTGAACAGAGGATGATAGATGGAAAGAAGCTGTGACTCAAATTGATTGTTGATTGAAAAACATATTGATGAAGCAGTCCCCTGAGACCAGTGGGACTGTAAACCATTAGGGTCGGGATCATTATGTGTCAACTTGTGCCTAAAATCCAATCAAACGGAGCACTAAAGTCAATATGTGTCATTCTCACTTGAAAACAGATTTACAAGTCAAATATACACTGAGATAATTGATGAATCATCTTGACCACAGAAATAAATCCAGTTCATTTAATTCCTTATCGGGTGAATTCAATACAATAATTGCAGAAGGAACACAGTATAATGTTTTGTTATGGATCCACAAACATGCAATCTACATTTTAAAAATATTATATTGTATAAGCAGCCCTTGTGGTCAAAATAAGTTAGCTATGTGCTGTCTGCATCTAATTATTAAGCACTTAATTGTTATAGTATCCAAAAGTGTGCACTTAGCATGCTAATTATTGTTATAGCTTTACGGTGATGGTAAAAAAGAAAGTCTTTGAAAGTGATGAAAAGGGATTAAACTCATCACATTTATAAACAAACAAATGAACTAGTTGTGTTTTTCACATTTTAAGAACCTATTAAATCACGTATAGCACGTTTAATTAATGCCACATCTTGTTGTCTCTCTAGTTAGAAAAGGAATTCACCATATTTATTCTGACAGAGAAGATCGGAGCACAACTTTTACTCATACACCTTAAAAAAGCTTACTCTGGGCAATAACACAACACAAATTCCAGGCCCGAGAAGACCTTGAGTTTTATGGCACTAGCTGGAAGCACATAAACCACTCCAGCACCTGTCTCCCCGCGGCTTCACGCTCTTTTACACTCTTGTACCTTTTACGTCCCTCCGAGCTGTTTTCCGACTTCCTCTTCCTGTCGGCCACGCAGAGCCCCACGGAGGATTCCCTGCCGCCACTCAGCACGGCGGCCATTAGTCTGGGTCTCTGTCTTTTACGTGGTCGGGGTTGCCATGGCGACTGAGGTAGCAGGCAGCGGTGCATGCTGGGAGGACAGGTGTGTGGTGACAGATGCTGGGGGACTAGCGGGGAAGAGTTGTGCCGCCTGGTTAACTGCAGCATGTGGGTGTTGTTGAAGACAACTCGGAGAGCAAAGAGAGGAATGGCTTGAGTTAGAGCAACATCTGTTTAAAATTCCCCTAAAAATATGATTCATTCTTTGAAAAAGCTATGAAAGTTTTCAAAATTTGACTTTTTTTAACGAGAACTTTTGTTTGTGTGGCATTTCCATTTCTTTGCATGCAGGGATTGCCATATTTAGTTTGGCGTTACCTCAAGCTCTGAGTTCTCGCAAAAGCAAGTTCATATCCTCAGTGTTCTGCCTTGAAAATCTCTACTTTGATTCTTACTGAAACTTTTATCACAGTTCTATTGGTGGTTTTCAGATTTTAAACCAGGAGTCACCAAACTTTTTCTCTGGGGGCCACGTTATTGCTCCTGGCTGGGGTCAGGTCGGCCTTATAACAGATTTATATGACCCTGACAATGCAGATTATATTTTTTGAAAACTGCCAGACTTTCTTTACTTATCAGACAAACTGCATGGTCCTTACACAACTTTCAGAGACCAGGAGTTTTGCTGTCACAGTAATGCTAACAACAACTAGCATGCAACTAGCACCACCGGATAATATTTCTCCCATGGCATATAAAGATAAACAGTGCTTTGACTACAAGACCAATCACAATCAAACTGAAATCACAATTTAAATGGATTAGCAAATTGTTAAAATGCAAATCTAATCACAGTTGCAGTGCTCATAAAAGTCACAATTGATATTTTTCCCAAATGGTTGAACCCTAGTCCCTGACCCTTGTCGTCTCTGTCTCCTCAGATGTACATCCAGACAGCCACTCTGACAGTGTCCCTGAGCCTCAGCGCCTCCGTGTCTCTGGGCATGCTTTACATCCACAAAGTCTACATCATCATCTTTCACCCGGAGCAGAATGTGCCCAAGCGCAAACGCAGCTTCAAGGCCATCGTCACCGCGGCAACCATGACCAGCAAACTGTCCCACCTGGCAGCCGAGCGTCCCAACGGGGAGGTGAAGACCGAGCTCAAGGAGTGTGAGGCTGTGGAGGCCAGCGGTGAGTGACAGGGCTAAGCACACTGCCAGTTTGCTTCACGTGGTGTTGCCAGTCAACACCACATGAGGCACTGCACAGTAAAAGCCAACGCAATAACATATTCATAGAGACAAGCAGGTGGTAGGCCATTTACCTGAAAAGTTACATAGTACACCTTTAATTTAGATTTGTTTTGATGTCTGTCTAGTTTTTATTAAAGTTGCACTATGTACTCATGGGGGGACTTGTTCTTTGAGAGGTTATTTCTTTGCCTTAGGGTTAGGGTTAGTTCCACAGTATGGCACTAAACTTGCATTTGCATTTATTCCATAAAAGGGTTTTTGGGGGTTTATTCACAGTAAGAATATCTTGACTGTGATGGTGAACCGAACCATTCACCAGAAAAGTGACATAGTGCACCATTAAATAATGTATGTATGTATGTTTGTATGTGTGTAGTATGCATGCATGTGTTTATTCATTTATTTATTTAAAGGGACAGTGCATATTCATGAACATACAACGTAAACATACCAGAATGATCCCAATGGGTATGTTTTTAAATTATCAAAACTTTAATTGTTACATTTCTGTAGTATCAGGCAATGATGAAAAGAATAAGACTTCTTATTTCAAGTACATGCCATATGCTGTGTTTTAACAGAATGCCCGCAATTACCATAATGCAACAATTTAAGCTCTGCAGCTGTAAACACATAATGTGGATATAATGCACAACTTGATTTAAAGTTGGCTGTGTTGTCCCTGACTTTTAAATACATATCTCAAAAACTATAGTCTTTAGTCACTGCAGATGTTTCCCAAGTTGTTAAGTTCTTTATCCTAGCTCCCCCCTTTTACTGAGCAGATAAAAGAGGCACTCCAGGTTTATGTAAGTGATGGGGGCAGTGCTTGTTAGCCGAGCTGTGATCAGTCTTTGACAAATAAACAAGGTGGAGTTGGACTTTGGGGCTGACGATGCAGAGGCTTTGAAGTGTGATGCAGAGTAAGCAGTTTGGATCAACAGCAACTCTGAGGTGATGTCTTCAAACACAACAGCAAAAGAAAAACAAAAGTAACTAAATGTTGTATTTATAGGGCACATATTACACTGTTGTCTGAACTAGTGGGTTTTTTTTTCTCTCTCTCTTCAAAAACATACCCAGAGTTTTGCTTTGTTTCCTTCACACATGTAACCCACAAATTCTCCATACTGAGGGCTGAGGTCTTCTCTCAGACTTAAACACTCTGTTCTGTCTTGTGATACGGGAAGTGCTCCACTTTTTAAACTTTGTACACCCTCACTAGAGACATTTGGATCATTTCAGCCCTAGTATTTCCCATAAAGTAAAGGTAAAAGAAGCTGTTAACTTGAAAACTACTGCTTTATGATATCACAAGGTGGAACAGAGTATTTTGAGATTTGGAGATGTAGACAGACTAATAATAAAGAGTTATTCAAAGATGTGTGAATGAAACAAAGCACAACTCCAGGTATGTTTTTGATGAGATAACAGCATTACCAGTCCCAAGTCAATTTTGTATAATATACAGAAGGACCTCAAAGTATTATGTCTGACCTGTATTAGAGCCAGGATCGTTCGGAGAGAGAAATCTGTTCTCTCCTCAGTGATGCTGATTTATCCATGGAGTTCACAATGGTGAGAATGTAGGATTGTTGCCATAGCAATTGACAATTTTTATTTTTTTTTTTAATGGGGAAAAATAGTCCTCAAATGGAAGCAAGAAGCAGAAATCTGTGAATAGGATCTGGTTCACGAGTCCCTGTCTGAAGGATTAAACTATTGTGCAAAGCTGGGAGCACATGAGAGGATATTTGGCCCGATTCTTAGCCAAATTTACTTCTGCACAAACCAGGGAAGCAGAGCCTTGACTGCTAACAAGCAAGACAGGCAAATGTTTGGGTCCACCTGATCACTATGGGAGAGCAGATTCTCCTCAAAGCTTGAATCTGAACTTTTAAAGTAAAAGAGTAAATTTCACTTAAATGTCCTGTATTACCTCAATGGTCCCCCATCCAAACACTAACAAGGCCCAACCCTGTCTTGATCTATATTTGTACCACATTACATCTCATGTGACTAAACAAACACCACTGAGGTATTTAAAGAGATCTTGTTACAGGGCCTTCTGTGATTTCTGTTCTGCTTGTAGCTTCCAAAACCTCAAATTGTGATTGACAAAAAAAGAACATGAGATTTTACTCCTGAGGGACCAGGATTGTGGCAGTTTGATCTTCCGTGACACAGGATCCTGTCACATATCCTGTACCTTGTGTCTCATATTTATCAAGATATTAATTTAACCAGTGAATGATTTGTAATTGTCAGCGGGGGTGGAAGAATTTTGTTAATTACGTAAAAATACAGATACTGGAGCAAAAAAAAGAAAAAACACATGAAAAAATCTATTGAGTAGCCTTTTCACCAGGTCTCAGACTGAGGAGTAGAAAGCACAGATACCTTTTCTCAAATGTAGTAAAGTAAAAGTAAAAATGGTCCTCTTTCAAATCTGTTTAAGCAAACTACAGATCCTGATATTTCATAACAGCATATCTGATCCTAACCCCAATTCTTTTCTATTGTGTTTGTTTTGCAGTGCCTCCACCCAAGACTACATATGTGAGCTACGCCAACCACAACATCTGAGAAATCCTGGACCAGTGTCAGGGGAAAAAGACTTTAAATAAGTCCAACTGTGGCACAGATCACAAACTAAAGATATTTTGATGTTTACAGACTGTGCAGAGCTAACGACGAAGGAACAAAATACTGCGAAAACTTGAAAATGGGAACTCTAAAGATTAAATATTTAAAAGATAAAGTGGGATTCAACCATGTGTGTCATAAATTTAACTGTACCTAAAATTGTGGTCGTGAGTTTTTTGGTCTTGTCTCATGTCCGTCCGTCGACTTGCATTTGAGATGAGTCTGTTGTGTTCGGCTAACGCTAAATGTGGTTAGCTTTTGGTTGTGAAGTGGTTCCAAATGAAGCATGCCAGTTTTTATACAAAAGATTTATTTATAATAAAGGACTGTTTCACAAAATTGTCTTTTTTATTGTCTGAGATTATTAATAACAGCAGAGAAGATTTGTTTAAATTTATGTATCGACTTTGTGATTGAATAATGGCACGATTTGAAGCTAAATTGTGACTTCACCTAACAGAGATTAAACTTTGTGCCAGTTTTTGTTTCATGAAAATAGAAGTTAGGTACCATAAACCAGGTGAAAATATCTTCAATATGATATGCGCTTTATGTACATGAAGGGTTATTGCCAGTGCTGTTTCATGTACAGTAGACCGTTTAATGAATTATGCATATGACTTTATCTATGTTTTGCCGTTCATAATGTTCAAGTGACGAGTGTAAATGAAGAATTTGATTGTGAAACAGACACTTCTTTGTGTACGGTTTATCATCTGTTTCAAGTATTGCAATTGTATTTGTGATTTTTGAAACCAAGGTTCAGTTCATAGTGCACATTTTAAACATGTCCAAGAACATTCATGTTTGAGAAAAAACTGAAACCTCAATTCATAAACTAAAACAAGAATCCCGTGTATTTCAGAACATGTTTGTAGACGTCTGAACTACAGGGTGAGCAGCTTTTACTCAGAATAAGACCCCATGAAGACACAGAGACATTGTGCAACATAAAGTATTAAGCCCAAGAACTTGAATCCTTAATATTTATGTCATGTTTGAGAGAATTTTAGATCTAAAAATACAATATTGTGATTAATTGAAGCAATAAAATCATTTGTTCTACAATTTTTGCTGAAATGTCAGGGCCTTGCTGAGACCACTGCTAAAAAACATGCATGCAGGTGATGTGCCCTCTACAGAAATGTTACGCAGTGCTGCTTTAAGAGAGAACGACATACAAGAAAGATAATAACAATATTTTGGGGGAGGAGAATTTTTATTTATTTTTTGAATGCATTTGAATAAAGGCACTGTGTCCTCTGCGAGTCGGTGTGATCCTCGTTTGGCCTGTGGGAGAAAAGGAGTCACAGGTTTCATCTGAACAGTTTTTGAAATGGAAACGCTTCAACTTCCATTCGGCATTTTGACTCTTAAAATGAGCTCTGGATGGAAGTGAAACATCTCAACTTAAAAAAGTGTCCAGTGACCTGTAACCCCTCTCTTCCAAACCAATGACTTAAAGGACACAGGGGCCGCTGTCTAATAGGGCCTCTTCTTGGGCTTGTCCCACTGTGGAAAGAGCCAAGCCAATACAGTTCTGGGCCGGTTCCTAAAGGAGCTGAGACGAAAGTTCAGATGTTTCATGGCGTCTTTCTGGAAGTCTGTGGTATCTGGTCCCAAAGCCATCACGAGGAGCTTGGAGGCAGAGCCATATTCGTGGCTCAGGTCTCTGGCTGTGTTTTTGCCCAGCTTTTTTATGTTTTTGGGTTTGATATGAACTTCAGCTGGGAGTTTGAACTGGTCCTGGGCTCTGGTCTTCTCCAGAATCTGCACTAATGCATTGTGGTGGGACGTCATTTTAGAGGGCAGCTTTTGCAGCAGCTTTTGTGTTGGGGTCATTCTCCAGACGGAAGTCCGGAGAGATGTGAGCAGATAGAGTTCTGGTCTGCTTCTCTAGAGCGTTCTCTGATTCAGGAGCAGGTTCAGCTGTGGTCTGAGGAGCAGCTTCTGCTGTGGGGTGAGGAGCAGGTGGAACCAGCTCCTCCTCTGGGACTGTATATCCTATCATCTAGAACACAGCTGCAGCCGTTCTCCTCCTGGCCTCCTTCTTGGAGACCCCTTTGCCCACTGCAGTGCGCTGGTCCACGGACACCTCCATGGAGAAGGTCCATTGGGTCCCTGTCACCGTGCCCTCCAGCAGGCGGTACTGGGTGAGCGGGTGTTTGCGGGTCATGAGCAGCCCCGACTGAAGCTTGGACAGTGAAGATGGGATGCGATGCAAGGTTATTTCTATTTCAAACATTATTCTATCGACACAGACATTCACATTGACAGTCTGGCTTAATAATAGATTTGCTTTGGGTGTTTTGTGGAGTGGGTGTTTTTAGTGGCAGGCTAACTATGGCCATTGACATGTGCTAGCCTAGCACCAGTGATCTCTGCAAATACAAGGACTGAATGGAATATTTAAAAATGTGTCTCCACACGTCTCCAACACTGACTCACTAGGAAATGAGGTCCTATGTCCAAAGTTCCAGACTGTCCCTTTAAGGCTAATGTAAAAGTGTTAGTTTATTTGACAGCACGAGTGTAGTGGATGACTGTGTGTGAGCAGGAGCAGTCTCTCTCTGGATGTGACCTTTAGCTCTGCTCTGGGCCTGACAGGATACAGGCCCACAGCATCATTACACAAGAAGAAACACACTCATCGAAGTCTGATCAATACCTGAGCAGCCGGAGAGAGGCGGTCAATACACTGTGCCACAGGAACTGCTCACACATGAGGAAGATTTCTGTATCTACTGGAAGAGAAGGAGAGAGAGAAAAGAGGGAGGGAGAGGAAAGAAGGAGAGAGGGGCAAGAGAGCGAAGATGGAAAAAAAAAAAAAAAAAAGAGAGGAGAGGAAGTAAAGAAAGAGAAGAGCAAGAGACGGAGAGGAGTAAAGAAAGGAGGGATAGAGGACAGGGGGAGATGAAGAAGTGGAGGTGAAGAAGAGAGGAGAGAAAGGCATAGAGAAAGGAAGGGAGAGGAGGACACAAAAAAGAGAAAATGAGAAAGAGGAGAAGAGAACATGAAGAGGAGAGGAGGAATAGGAGAGGAAGGAGAGAGAGGGGAGGAAATAGCAGATGGAATGTGAATAATTCTGTCGTTAACATCTTACAAACTCTACTTTGTAATTCCTTTGGGTGTTTCTCCAATCAAATGCACCCAGGCAGCATAGGCTCATCTTCCAGGTACAAATCCGGGCTAAACATCTAGTGTAATTAGCTTCACGCTGGTTTCTGTGAAATTACTTTGCCTCTAAGCCTCAGAAAATATGAGTTTTGAATTTTCCCAGGATTGTTGTGTCACAAGTAGAAACCCAATACAGTTTTTTAAGTCCATACATCACTGGCAGACACGTTTTAAGCATTTCTGCCATCATGTTATATTTTTCACATTTGAATAAAAATATTGATCTAGAAGACAAAGAAAAGTCTGCTAAAGATGCATATCATGAGCAGCCAACTTTTTCATTTACACCAAAATGACTATGCAATGCTGCCAAATCCTACGTGTAGAAAAAATAATTTGAGAATGAAGTAAGTGATCAGAACAATGGCTACAAAGAGAGACTTGATTGCAGGAGAATAAAGATTACTCAAACTTGCATGAATCATTCTAAACTAGTGTTGTCCCAATACCATTTTTGGAGGCTCTGATCCAATACCGATACCGATACCAGTCCAATAGCATATAAAGTCCAAGTTAGCACTGTTGCCGCTGTTATCCGGCTGCACTCTCCATAGCTCAGTTTGTCTAAGTTCAACATCCACACTAAAGTTATCAAAGAGGTAACACAAATATCTTTCCTGTTATTATTAGCTTGTTTTAAGTGTCTGCAGAGCCTCTACTCACTGTTACAATACCTGGAAAAAATGTGCTGTATCAGAGCTTTTGCCGATACCAGTATCGTTATCGAAACAATACTCTAAACACAACTATGAGTGGGTAAATGAGAAGAGAATACAGTTTTATAAAGGTTGATTTAGCATGATACATCATGTATAAAGTAAAGCTAAACACATCCTGAACTCTATGCATTGCATCTCATTCCTCCTGTGTCAGCCTGCGTCTGTATAAACTATGTCATATGTGCACATTCAGCTTAATTGGCGTTGGTTTGACAGACAACGTGAGTTTATCATTACACAGCAGCAGCAGGGCCCCGGGCTCATTACGCACCTCCACTCCACACTTTTACATAGACTGCATGCATCACTGGAGCACAGGTTAGACCAGGTGGGAGAAAATACATATAATTATGAGTTTTAAGCATGCAAGAACCAATGTCTGTTGGTAGAGTAAATGTTCAAGAGAAGGAGATGGACCTCTGTGTTGCTACACACTTTTTATATCTTCAAGAAAAAAGCAGCGGTCCAGTTCATCACTAAGCTATCTATCTATCTATTTGTCTGTCTGTCTGTGTTTATTTATTATCTTTCTAACCACCTACTTGTTAGAGGAAGAGCCCTACAACAGAGGCATAACCAAACTGGATTGAAAAAGGCTAAAGTGAACAACACTATCACAACTGAGAGTTCATGTCTTCGGGTTTTGTACTGATGGTAAATAAGTTCCAGCACCATACCTTTTGTTTTCCACGTTTTGGGCTTCTACAGTTTTTTCTACAACATTACATATCAGCGGCCTCCAACCTGTAGCTCAGGAACTACCAGTATCTCCATCCCCTTCCAAGTAGCTTGCCAAAGGATTTCTGAATTATACATCCTTGGCCCGATCTTGCCTCCAATCATAGCATTAGTACTGGCGCTAAGGAGGGGGTGTGTCCAGGTTAGGCTGTACTTCGGTTCTGGAGGCTGGAGTGGGACGGTACAAGTACATATGGTGACGGCATCTGAACCAATCTGTGACCGCTGTGGCATTTTATTGTATAAATGTTTCTGATGTTACCACTTTGTGCACAGATATGATAGGTGCCTCTGCTCCGCTGTCACAGTCTCGAGCTGTCAACGAATGCTCGCGCTGATCTCTGTCAGAGTCTGGTCGCGAGAATGTGAGGAAATCGACATTGCAGCATTAGGACACAGACAGAGTAAGAAAACACACTTTAGGACAGCACTGTTAACGGCCTCATTTGAATGAGCAGCTTTTGTACAGATCCAGATCAAACCAAACTATAGAGCAGAGCTGAGTCGATGCAGGGAGCGAGCGAGGGGCTGTGCTCTGCTGCGGGAGGGCATCCAGAGGGCTCCTGCACAGCACACGGACATGTTATGAATGATCATCCTAATATATTTCCAAATAAAAGAAGCCTTGAGCATGTTACATGTTGTTTCTCAGT